CATTAATTTAATTGAATATTACTTGAGTATTACGTAATAAAACAAGGATTAAGGAAATCGGCATAAATCAATCATCGTCAGTTTTTAAAAATTTACATTTAATTTAGACCTTTCCACAATAAATAAATTACAATCGAGACTTTAATGTGTATGAGCAATATCGTTAACTCGGTATTCATTCTCAACGCTGCTCGTTATTATCAATACATAAATGAATTGTTAATTTGGTTCGATACAGAAGTGGATTATAATAATGATTTTCGCTACTACTTATCTCTAAAGAATCGCAATACACTCGTTGGTGTCGGACCCGTCTTTGTGGTGAGCCTCATCCGTTATACGTCAAAGTCAGCTCATCCAATAAATATCAATAATCAACCGTCTTCATGTTAATGCTCAGTGATTTCATAGTCAACTCGGAATATTCTAAAGCTGGCCGAGGACCCTCTCATAAGTTGCAACTTTTCTGCTTCAATTCAGAACCGAGGCTCGGGCCCGACTGTCGTACCTCGCAGAACGATTCCGGCCTCAGTGATTTCATAGTCAACTCGGAATATTCTAAAGCTGGCCGAGGACCATCTCATAAGTTGCAACCTTTCTGCTTCAATTCAGGAGCGAGGCTCATATTCATTAAACAAGTTGACTTTATTAGATTTATAACGGAGGAAGCTTGCCACAAAAACGGGCCCAGCACCAACGAGCGTATTGCGATCTCTAAAGATAAGTAGTAGCAAAAATCATTATTGTAATTCACTTCTGTATCAAACCAAACTCACAATTCATTTATGTAACGATAATAGCGAGCGGCATTGAGAATGAAAACCAAGTTGCTCATACACTATTAGAGTCTCAATTGTAATTTATTTATTGTGAAAAGGTATAAATTAAATTTACATTTTGAAAAACTGACGATGATTGATTTATGCCGATTTCCTTAATCCTTGTTTTATTACGTAACTCAAGTAATATTCAATTAAATTAATGTGACACACACACACACACACCTTTAAGGGTACAAACAAAACGGAAGATGGTACAACCGGGTACGAACGACTCGTAAGCAGCACTCGGGTTTAAAATATCTTAAAAAATGGCAAAGTTGAGTTTTACTCCTATTTTGAAAATTTGGTACAATCATCCTCTGAAGGATAAAAACAAAACAGATGTAGGTACAAACGTGTACGATCGACCCGGAAACCCGCTTGTGGATTCGAAATATCTCAAAGAGGGATGCTAGCAATTTTTCCAACCCTTTATAATTTTGAACTCCTTGGGGAACAAACGGGTATAAACCGAGCTTAATTTAATGCACACTTAAAATTATTTTTTTTCTTAAAATCGGGTGCCAGGTTCACATAGGTCTCGTGAACGCGCATCTGCATCTCCACGCGCGCGCGCGGAGACGGAAACCGTCGAGCTCCGTCTCTTTTCGAATGTACACCGGTTATCATCGATCCCATCATTGTCCCTGAATCGAAAAGGCGTTTCGGAGATTGCCTTAAGATCGTTTTTTTTTTCAGCAAGATACAGAATCGAGAGACTCGTGACACGCAAGAAATTACATTTGCTGCCAGCGAACATGTGTTACAGTCGTTCACTGTCCTCTTAATAATAAGGGAAAAAAAGAAACCTAAGTGTTCCATCTTGAATACATCGTCAATTAAAAATTAATGATGTTTTATATATAATACGCGAATTTAAATTATTTCAGGGATTACAAAGATTATAAAAAAGATTATATTGAGGATTACAAAAAAGTCTAACGTTAAATAAATTAAAAACTCATTTACATGGAGGAACTTATTATATTCCAATAGTGTAAAATAGTACAATTCTACACATAGATTCAACATTTTTAGCAAGTCCTGATAAGAAACAAGCAGCTGCAGCATTTGAAAATTATATGAAGGAAAGCTCTTTGTTACATACAAATGGTAAATATTTTTGTGAGGATTCATGGCACGAAATGATATAGCGCTCCAAAATGACTGCAAAGTATATGTAATATATTACATAATAAATATTATAAAAAGTGAATCATTCAATCCAAAATTTAGACCAGCCGAGTTTAAAAATATAATAGCGGAATTCTTATTAGAGTCTTCAAATTGCATTAAATTAGATATTTGTCAATATTATTTTAGTGATCGCATAATAGTTATTTGTAATACATGTCGACGTTTGGTACACCAATTTTGTCTAAAAAATAAATTTAACGACACGACAAAGTGGAAAAATCCAAAAGCAAAATATAGATATAAGCCGTGTACCAAAGGTTTTCGACCATGGATGTGATATGTACAATAAATATGTATGTAAAGATTCCGACGAGCCAATTCGATCGGTATTTTTTTATTCCGTTCTTAACATGATTATATATGGAATTTGAATTTGAGCGATAGTTTGATTAACGCAAATGCGTTTAAAAATCTATTGTTTCTTGATGTCGATTATCCTATGCAATCATTTTATCCTACATTAACTGTTGGACAATATGGTTTTAAAGAATTGCGCAAGTATTAGGATTCGGTAAATATAATCTAAATTTTAGATCAAATGATTCACTTTTTATAATATTCATTATGTAATATATTATATACATGCCGTAGTCATTTTGGAGTGCTATATCATTTCGTGCCCTGAATCGTCACAAAAATATTTGCCATTTGGATATAACAAGGAGCTTTCCTTCATATAATTTTAAATACTACAGCTGAATAGAAACCGTAGAAACGGTATTTAAATCACTAATGAGATAGAGAAAGAAAAGTCTGTTGATATCTACTGTAATATCAAATAATGATTAACATTAAATTTAAAAGTTACAGGACAGTATCTCGAAGATTTGAATAAAAATAAATCCATAATAAATATAATATATAATGTATTGTAAAGTATTTATTAATTAATTTACGAATTTAAAAACAATTAGAAAATATATTATAAAAATTACGACAAACTTCTGCAATTTCTATCACGATAAATAAGAACAAACTTTAGAATTTATTAAATAGCAATATTTCAATTTGTAATTTTCGTAAATTAAAATTGTTCTAAAGATGTAGACGTTAGTTTGATTATTTGCTTAAGATTTTCATAAAATTTCAATAACAAAAGCCTTTTAAAATGTATTAGAAGCTTTCCACAATAAGCCGTTAGTCACTACTCATATCACACTAATTGAGAATTAACCAATCGTAGTCAAATATTTTTCTTACATTCAACTGTGATTCGTCAATTCTTACGATTTACAGCTTACGAACTGACATACGACGTATTGTAGACAGCTCATTAAAGAATATAACTAAGAATTAATATTTAATCATACTTACTTTAAATCATCAAGAAAAGACTTACTCTGTACGTAACTAATGTATTTTTTCTGTCAACCTTTCATTGTTTTGAAATAGAGATAAAAAATACTCCCAGTGTTCACCAGTATGTTGCGCAGCAGCGAAGATTGAATAATAATCTATAAAAATACAAATGTATTCTCTATAAAATAGCGTTCAAAAAATAAATAACACTTTACGAAATAATAATTTCTCTAAATAAATACTTAACAGGTATATTTTTCTCGTAAATATAAATAAAAACTAATAAGTTTTTTGAGCGAAGCCGTGAAATTAACAGTTACGGCAGTTCTGTCGACAGTTCTGAGTAGCACCTCAAGAATTCTAACAAAAGTTCTTATCACTTGAAGCCGTGAAATTAATATTAAAAAAGATATCGCGCTTTTTCGTACGTGTCGCAAAATTTCTATCACGTACCCGAAAGCGAAAAAATTTTTAACAGTTCCGGCAGTTCTGTCGACAGTTCTGAGTAGCACCTCAAGAATTCTAACAAAAGTTCGTATCACTCGAAACCGTGAAATTAATATTAAAAAAGATATCGTGCTTTTTCGTACCATGGGTCGCAAAATTTCTATCACTCAAGAGCGGAAATCACGCGATCCGCTCGCGGGACACGGTATGCAAAAAACATGGCGTCGCCCCGATTCGTCGGTCGATCGTTTTCGATCGAAGGAACGCGTCAACGATGTCCCGCATGCCGATTTCACGTCTCACGGTTGACAAAGACCGGATTAATCGCGGTCGTACTTGCTAAATAAGTACGTCGCGCACATAATTCGCGGCCGACAAGTCTCAACTCCCCTCAACGTCCTACGCGTCCGCGACTCCCCGCAAAGCGTGCATTGTGCAGACTGAAATTTTTGTTTCCGGTTTCCGGCGTCTGCACAACGATAGCGCGGTGTACGCGAGTCAATTAAAGATTGTGACCGCTTGAAGAGATCGAGAGGGGCAATATTAAACGTGTGTAAATCCCGCGTATTATTAATAAGCGTGTATATTAATTAATAAATAGCCGATATATCAAAATTTTTAGTATATAATCGATCGTTTTTGTTCGGCGTCTCGGCGTCATTTGATTCGAGTAGTGCTCTCGATTGCCTGAAATAGGCAAATAAAGCAAATTTTATTATGCAGAAAATGCAAAACGCGACACCCTTCGAGAATTGTATGATCGAGTCTAAAAAAAAGATACACAATTACAACAGAAATAATTATTGCAATAAAATAGCATTGTTATTTTACGTATATTTACTATCAATATAAAAAAGCAATCGATTAAATTTTATAATATAGTATGGTGGATTTAAAAAATTTTTATTTCCTTTATTTATTAAAATAAAAAATTATTTATATTTCAAATTTTTCTCTTATTAATTTTGTTTCTAGAATTAACAACGTTGTAATTGCTTGATAATACTTTATAAAATTAATCTCTATAAAAACCTGTTAATAAAATTAATTTATACAAAAGGTATATAAGGAATCATGTAATACATGTTAAAATTCACATTTTGATATTTTATAATTGATTATATTAATTGACAAGATTAATTTTTAAAAGAAACATTTATAAAAAATGGATTTTTTCTCATCTCGATATTAATACAAAAATGGATTTGACTAGATGGCTTTTTATATCTTATACGATGCATTCATCCACGAAGATTTATATTTGACATTTGTTCCGTTTCACTGCAAGATACATTCCTGGCTTCAGCAGCAGATTCGGCTTATCCTTCATGAGAGAGCCATGGAAGCCGATGCGAAAGAGTGCAAATTCACGAGGAGCAAATGAAGCTGAGAGCGCAACGAGACGAGCGATGAGGACTCATGCCGAACAAACAGATCCGAGAAATCTTCTGTCCAGAGCGAGAGCAGACAATGTGGATATTGAAATCGATCACGATCATGGCAAAGACAGAAAAACCTACGGTACTCCTACCTCTTGTTACTTAATCTAACAATGCAACAACATCGCGTTACTTCAAATGCAATCATTAATCGTTTATTTCTAAGTATTTAAAATAAAAAGTATAAAGTTAAAAAGAAAATATACAAATAGATACAGCTAATAAAGATTAACAAATTTATTCAACAACTTAATACATAGATAATATTTTCTTGAAAAGTTTTTATAACAAAAATATATCCTAGTTATAATATTGATTGAAAAGTTGAGGCTCGAAGCAGAGTTAATCAGGTTACAAAAATTATTGTCATCGTTGCAGATTATCATATCTCCCCAGAAAGGGGAGACCGCCGATTATACAGGCCACATTCCAGGAGTGAGGGGAGAAGTTGCGCTTTCCAAGAAGTACGCTCAAGCCGCCAGAAAGAGTCGTGGAACGTGTCCAGAGGGAAGACGTGAAGAACAGCTCAGGGTTAATGACACGAACGCCGTTGAGAGTCTTTGACGAAACGGGGCAAACGCGTGCATGGGGTGACACAGGAATATGTTTTCTAACTGCAGCATACAAAAAATAAGAATAAGTGTTCAGACATCGGAGAGAAGAAAGAGACAGTTGAAAATAATAAATGTAGTAAAAGAGCAAGTGTTATAAGTAGAATACAAAATATTTCTAAACATATGTAACTTCAGAGATTATGCCATGCAGACTTTACTGTCAACTTTACTTACAAGTTCTAAACGTTTCTTATACATAACTTTACTTTGACAGTATCGAAAGGAGCAAGTAAATGTGGAAGAATTAGCAAATAATCTAGATGAAAAATTATATATGTTCGAATCACGAAAACTGTCCCAAAATTTATAAGGATTATTTTTTTGTACTCTAATATTTTGAACGATGGTATACAAGTAACAGTAGATTCTGCTGTTTTCTAATTTTCGGACATAAATAATTTACAACAGATTATTCAAATGTAGAAACATATAATTAGACAACATATAATTATTAAAGCATGGAAAAATGTATTCCTGCGCGAATAAATTTATTAATTGATTAATTAATTTATTAATTGATTTATTAGTGGATGAGTACGTATTTCAGTCTTCGTCTATTTCATCGTCTGAACCGTCATGAATTGTACTTAATACTGAATCCAGCGATATAAATCCTATTACATCGATAATCTGGTTCAATTTTAAGACAGTCTCGTTGTAAATCGGAAAAGTACACATAAGATAGTGCCAACTGAGAAAAATGCGTATCAGAGAGGTGCGCAAATGTGTTTTTAAAATATTTCGCACAATTCACCTTCACTATTCAAGCTTTTCCTCCATCGATCAGGATTGGAAAATTCAATATATATATGATCTTCCGACAATGTACTTTGAATTTTTGTACTGCAATGAGCACCGCTCGTATTTGAATCACTGTTATCCGCCGAGACTTTCTCTTTTTTTTTGTAACTGGTTCCAAGCAATCCATTTCCTCTAACAATAAGTTGTCATCATCCAGGCTCCTTTTGTTGACACTGTTACTGCATGTTGGTTATATCAGGCATCCGTGTGCTCGTATTCCCTTTCCCTTGCCCAGTCATTTAGTCCAGGTACAGAGATCACAATACACGTTTGTCTCTCGGCATTTTTTTATTCTTCTTGGAGTACATCAAAATTTCTTTGTGCCGCTGTATCTAAAATAAAAGTTAGTAAATGTTACATAAAACACTTGTTAGATCTTACGTCTCAACGATAATGTATGCAGTACACGAGATATGCTAGTCTCAAAGCATCCCACACTTGAATTGCATATTATTTTTAATCTCTAGCTCTGCTTAATATCCACTACTCATAAGGGAGCAGGAGTAACGCAACATCTCTATAGAGTCACATAAAATAGCTCTAAAAATAAATAGAAGTCAAATGTTACAAAAGGAGATAATTTACCAGGCAACGAGCTGCCACCCCTGTACATTTTACATCTAACATCACTCTCCCCAGTATTCTACGTGTTCTTCATCTCGTAATTATTCTGCTTAAAATAATACTCAGACCTCTATTTTGAAAATTTGGTACAATCATCCCCTGAAGGGAGATATTATGCATACGCCATTGTGGACTATTATATTTCTAAACTCGGCTCTGGTCTAAAACAACAAGTCATCATAACATCAAAATGACATCAAAATGACGTTAAAATGATTATTAAAAGTCACTTTTCGATCAGCTATGAGTTAATTTAACGTTATTTTGACGATATTGCAACCTGTTGTTTTGGTTGAGTATCTTAATTTGTAAGAATAACTTTTTTCACTTAAATAATTAATATATATATATATATATATTCTTAAGTTATTAATATCGTTAAATTATATTAATAAGTTATTCTTAGAGAGATAACACCTCATATACCTATACTTGATATATCTATATTTTTGCATACTTTTCATACTTTTGCATACTTTTTTGCATACTTTTTTTTGGAAAAATGATTTTAGAGTAATTACTAAACTCATTAATAATTACTCCATTAAATAATATTTTACTCACTTCATCATTAAATTCCATTTTGCCGCTTTTATCACCGCTTGTTGTGACTAGTTCTGAGTTTCTGACGCTAGAACTCGTAACACCGGTCGCGCCAGAGAGGGATCTGGCGTGACTGCATGAGGCCGCCTCATTGAGGCGTCGGCGTGACTGGCGTGAGCAGAGAGGATCCTTCTCATCCTTCTCTGGCGTGACTGGCGTGAGTGCCGTGAGTCCCGCGACGACGGCGCCAGGCGCGGCTGTTGATCGCGTTAACCTCGCGGTGATCGGTTTACGTTTACGTCGCGTTGCTCCTAGTTGCGTTTCTAACCTCAAACCATCTCAAGCCATGGGTGATTCTGAACAGGACCCGGGTGATCGGATCGACGGCGACAGTCAGAAGAACGATAAAATGTTCACTCTGAAGAAGTGGAACGCCGTGGCCATGTGGAGCTGGGACGTCGAGTGTGACACATGTGCCATTTGCAGAGTGCAGGTTATGGGTACGTCTTGGTTATGTTTTCGTCAACTTTTCCGCCTCATTTTCCCCGCTATATTTATATATTTTACAGACGTATTTATCGTCACGGCAAATGTTGCGTTACGTTGTGTGATCATAATTGTCACATTCGCGCAATGAGAATTAATTCATTTATATTTATTTACTCGAAAACGCAAAACGTTGTTAATTATATCCATTTCCGTCAGTGTAGATTACACTGTAATCTTAGTTTAACTTACTTTTCATCTGTTTTTTATAATTCTAAGAATTAGAAATAAATGAAGATTTAGTTTAACTGAGAATAAAATTAATCTATGTTGGTAGAAATGAACATTAGATATTTTATAGCTCAATAAGTAAAACTAGCAATTTGCCAGAGCAAATTCGAACAGAATGTCGCAGCAGATTGGTACCTGTGTCAGTACCAATCAACTGACCAGTCAATTGTGTTAATGCATTAAGTGTTCTGCATCGGATTATTAGCGAAAATTGAGCGGAATCGGACATTACGTGATTATTTAATGATTAAATGATTTAAATAATTAAGAAATGACAGTTTCTATTTAATTTCTTTAAGCAATGTATTGTACTATTTTATTCATAGATTATGCTATATTTTTGCTGGTATTTTATCGATAGAATTTATAGCAGACGTGTTGCAACATTCTGTATCTAACAGATTTGACTTTCTCAGATGCCAGAAGGTCAATCTGTATCTATTTGTGATCACAGTGTATCTATAGACAACTTTAGTCATATCGTTTTTTTATAAATTCATGTGTGTGTTTCTATACTTAAAGCTGCCATACTAAAACCTCCATATATTTACAAGTACATTTACTTGCACATTAATATAATAGCATAGCGTAACTGTCCCTATTAGTGTGCCTTGTACCTATTAGTGCTTTTATATTTAAATAAGTCATAAAACTAAACTGGTACAAATAAATAGACAAAGTATTTTTTTTTTAGAAAGTTAATACATATTAACTTAATCAAAAAAATACTTTGTCTATATATTTGTACCGATTTATTTTTATGACTTATTTAAATATAAAAGCATACTAGTAGGTATGTACAGGACACATAGGGACAGTTACCCTAGGCGTATCTAGAATTTCTGTTAGAGAGGGCAAAAATTTATCTTTGCACAAAACTTGCAACACTTAGTATTTAACTGCAAAACGTCCTCCAGAAAGTCACAGTGATATTGGCCAAATAGTTGGCGTTATTATAATTTTAGACTATGATCAATGAGCGTTTTATCATAAAAGTAATTTTTATAATTAATTATTTTCCTTGTTAACATTTGGGAGGGGAGGGGGAGAGAAAACACTTTTGCTGCCCCTATCTTGAGTATGCCCATAACAGTGTAATCACTGTATACAGTGATTATAGAATGTTTACTTTTTATTGAGTCATATATTTAAACATAATTATTAACGATTATAATTATTAAATATCTTGTAATTTTTTTAGATGGATTAACAGTTCATTAACTGATAACTTAAAATCGAAATTGTAAATTGCTGAAGATCAAAATAAAAAGATATTCTATCTCTTAATGTTCTACATTAAGCTTTATATTTTTAATACATGATGATATAGAGGGCATTTAAAAATTCATACACCAAGACACCGCTATCACAAAAACTTTTATGAAAAATTGAATAATAAAAGTCGCCGAGATCTTTATTTTATTTTGAAAGATACTTTTTAAAGTATATATACTTACTGTTTTGGCCGATTATAGGTGCCGATTAAGCCGATCATAATGTTTATGAATTTTAGTGATTAGATAATTTATAGGTTCATAGATATTAGACAAAAAATTATGTTGCTGTCCATTTTATGAACATATATTATATAACATTTTATCAATCAATTATGATACTTTTATAGAGTACATTGTTGTATGATAGTATGTGTACAATATAATAACACAATATCTTGTGCTTTAATAATTAATATTATTTAAAGTATAAGACATGGCTATTTAATCGTTGCTTGTGATGGGCCGATCTAAAAACTAATATTTGAAATAAAAATTATTTCTTTTATTTAGAAATTTTTTTTATTAGTTTCGCGAGAATTTTCGTATTTTTTACAAGAACTTATTTTAATTTGTGAATTTTGTACATTCTGTACATTATGTAGCATTATTATAATTTTTATCTTGTTCTTACTTAATTAGAGTATTCGTAATTACGCGTATTTGTCTAATGAAAAAATTGAATAGCATTGTTAATTATATAAGAATATTGGAAGAAGGGTAAAAAAGATTGGAACAATAATTTTACATAAATCATTTTATGTATAGATAGTCTTAAAATATCATACCACATAATAACTTATAGATTACTCGTAAACTTAACATGAGTATTAAATTATCAAAAATATTCCGCCATCTTCATTGTGCTTTGGCAAATAGCTTATGAATAAGCGGCAGGTATTACTTATAGTAGCAACAAATATAAAACAGTAAATATGAGAAACGAAGAAATGCCGTGATTGGTCGTTGTACTACGAAGAAGAGTAATTAATGTTAATTCTCAATTCTCACGTAAAACAAGATAATTGTACACTTATTGCTTTATATGATATTATTAGAGTGAGTCGTACACACATTGAACTTTGCACAATCGCAAAGAAATGATTTTTTTGTTCGAGCGGTATTTTCACAATTTCAAAATGAGATTTCCGTGGATTTTGTTCGAGCGGTACTTTTTTTTACATTAATGTTAAAAACGAGACTGCGCGCTGCAAATGACAACCCTGTTTAACGTGCGCGAGCGAGAAAAGAAACTACGAGAAACGTTCCGCCACGACGTTTCCTCATCCTTACACTTCTACCTATGCATACGAGATTCGTTACTAATGAAATCCGACTCGGACGCACGCAACTACAAGCACACTCTTGATAAACTTATTTAAAAAACGTATACTCGCGCGATTTTCACGTTTTTCCAAAACGTGTTCGTCAGTTGTCGATTATGATATGTTATTTAGTTTGCGCTGTGCCAAACATACTGTGAGTGCACCCGGTCTCGCATGCAGTAAATTGGAATAAACAACAAAGCTACCACTTATATAGCATTAACATTGGATACAATTTGTTAAATATTCACTTCATACAAGCAATACAAATGTTTGAAAGACGCGAAGTGCAATGCCGGTGTCTTTTAAACGCTTAAAAATTTCTTTAATATCTAAATTTAAAGATATATATTTCTTAAAATCAATTTTGATTTATTTTAATTTTTGAACTTTATCACTATAAAAACTATGTAAAATATATTTTTTTAAATGTATACTCTTTTTAATAATCTCAATTTATCATAAGTGATAAATTGTTGATAAAAAAATATATAAATATATTATATATCAATAAGTTAAGTAAAATGTATAAATAGTTCCTCTATAATAATATTTCTCACAACAATTTGCCAGCGAATTGTTCTATAGTTAAAATTACTTGACCGGGAACACTCAGGTCAGGTGCCCGACGCAGCTTTACCCTAACTTTCGAACATAGGCGATTCAACTATATTACATTTGTCTGAGGTTCTCCTCCAACGCTACTCTTACGTAGACTAAGAACTCGTAAGACTTCATCTTGGCTTTACAACTACTTACGCTCTTTCACTTTTCCTAATCCTTCGCTTCAGAGAATAAAAATATATATCTGCCATATATCGTAACGCTTAAATTATCGTACGTACATTTAAAATCACATTCCACATTGGTATAACAGCCATCCGATACCAAGCGTCATTTGTTTAATGCGAAGATTACGATAATATGCGATCATGGGCTGCTGGAATCATATCGTCCCACTTACGATCAATTTCTTCTGCCGATTAACTACTATCATAGCTCAATTGTCTCTCTTTCTCTCTTTCGCTCTCTTGTCTCTAAATTTCTGTTTAAAATGAAAAAAATGAGGCAATAGAAAAATAATTGTTCTCGTTACGATTGAAGACAGCAACGACGATTTTCGGACGTGGATACGCTATAACGTATAGATCTCTCTGATTATTTACAATTTACAGTTATGATGACGAGAACGCGGTTTTGGTCTTAAAATTTATTGTCGCGTGGGAAATTCGCCCCTGTTCGAAAGACCGGCTTCTTGGTCGGCATATAATATATATATACACATATAAGTACGTACATTATTCGTGCTTCTCAAATTCAAGGTGCACGTGACGATTAACAGAATCTATGCGGTACCACAGCCCCACGCAAATTACGCCATAAAAAAACGCGCGCGCTCGCGCGCGACTAGCGTTGAACTACGCGTACGCCTCTAACGATAGTATCATCTGTTATACTCTAATAGAGCGATATCAACTTGAGGTAGGCCTTGTAGGACTGTCGGGAGTAATAAAAACAATTGCAACTACACACCTAGTCAACAGCTGATAGTCACATATCGCGCGCACATTTCCCCGGTGGGAAAGCGTATAACACATTTATATCTCACGAAGCTAATTAATTGGCCTCAGAATTTGGATTCTCGACAAGGTTGGCACTAATTCGCTAGCTCTGATTCTCGCATTGGACATGAATAAAGTCAAAGCGAAATCTGCCGAAGTCACGTTTCACGAGGCTAATTGAAGAAGCACATGAACGAAGACAGTTTTATTTGTATCGTAAAATTACCAGTTTGGAAGTATAATCGAGGAATTACTTTAGTCAATCTTTTTTTAAATCGATTTTCTCAAGCTCTTAGAAATCGCTATTGCGATAAATCTTTTAACCGACTGGGACTTTTTACCTGCTTTGCTTCTTCAACTCGTTTAAAGAGATGTTGACCTCATGAGAAGCTTTCGTCCGCGTATTTCAATATGCTATTCAGATCTACAATCGATTTCCGATTCTTTATCGGTTATCTCCAAATCGCTCTTGCTCAAACTCCATTATAACAAGTAGATTTCGCGAAAGCGAGCCGAAGATCTCAGAAATGAGAACAAGATAGAACAAGCCAAGGAAGAAGAACAGATACGCTTCTCTTTGACACGGAAGAGAGAAGATATAACCTCCGAACTTCCCTTTAAGGGAAAGCATATCTGTAAGGGAATCTTTCCCTTAGGACACTATAACGAGTCCTATTTCTCATTCGAACGGGCCTCTTTGTCGCGAGCCGCGATTGATAGTACAACAGCTAGCACGACATCGGCGTCGGCTTCATATTGGCGACCGCGCTCATCCTTCTAGTTGGGCCCGTAAATTTCTTCTCAATCTCCTCGAGCGACCTGCCGCGGGTTTCCGGCACGCTGACGATCACGAAGATGAAGCCCACGACGACGATGATGCCGAACATCCAGAAGGTGCCGTGCGCGCCGATCACACCGATGACGTCCTCGAAGGTCTTCGTCACGATGAAGGTGCACAACCAATTGAAGCTGGTCGCGATGCTCGCGGCGGAGCCGCGGATCTTGGCGGGCAGGATTTCGCCCATCATCAGCCAAGGAATCGGTCCGAAGCCCAGCGAGAAACCTATTACGTATATGATCAGACTGACCAGCGGCAGCCAGCCGAAGTCCGACACGTCCACGCCCAGCGACTTCACGTAGAAGAATCCGCCGAGGGAGAAGAGAGTCAGCGCCATCAACACGGCGCTTATGTACAGTAACATCTTTCTGCCCAGCTTGTCGATCACAGACGCGGCCACGAAGGTGGATATGAAGTTCACGACGCCGATAATTATGGTCGAGATATTCTCGTCGATTGAGCTACCAGCGTCCTGAATGACAAAAAGAATGTTGTTTGTTGATTTATTGTCCGGCTTGTATTTTTCAAAATTTGAACATTTATTTGGCATCTATTTCGCGCATCAGATCATCATCTCATTTTCGTGATTTAATTGAAACTTATTGTTTAAAAATGATCGAATATTGGCCAATAGAGAAAATTATCGACTAATACGTACCTGGAAGATTTGCACCGTGTAGAATATCACCGCATTGATACCGGACATTTGTTGGAACAGCATCAGTCCCAGAGAAATGAGGAGGGGTGTGAGATGTTTACTCTTTAGCAACTCCGAAATCGTATTTTGAGACTCGTTTCGCTCGCTGTCGAGGTATTCCTGATGTATTTTCTCGATCATCGTCAATTCATCCGTTATATCTGTATCTTTACCGCGAAGCCATTGAAGAGATTTTCGGGACATCTTTGCTTTCCCCTTGGAGATGTACCATCTTGGTGTCTCCGGAATTACGAACATTAAAATCAAGAATGGTAACGGTAAACACGCTCCCAGCAGCGCCAGTTGTCTCCAATCCATATGCATACCCGCTACGAAGCATAGTAATATTCCTGCGCATTGAATATGAAGCTTTTATGAGTTTATAGGACATAATTTACATATATATAATAAAATATAAAAATAAATATATATATATTTATTTTTATGTTTGAACAACATTCAATAAGTTAAATATCTAAATATCATATTAATTTCTTTCTCGGGTAAATAAGAATTTTAATATTTTTATATCTACATTGATATTTTCTAATGACGTTTTATTAAACGCGTATAAATAAATCGTGAAACTTTCAATTCTATCAATAGGTATTTTTAGGCTGAAAAAAGTTTTAGCAACGTAACCCATGCACGTTTAAATCAAGCAGAGTTAAAAAATTTTTGTTTCACTTACCGGTGTTACCAAAAGCGGTGGGCATTAAACCAAGAGTACCGCGCACTTCTGCCTGTATCGTTTCACCTAAGTATACAGGTAACGCTAAAGAGGCAACACCTACGGCGAAACCGCATATTGCGCGTCCAGCCAAAATCATTGGGATATTGTCAGCAAACGCGATTAAGATCCACGCTGTAACAAGTATCACATCATCATATAACGGTTCATCATTAACGTACAATGAAATTCGGAATATAAGGGAAATTACGTGTAGTCAATTAAAATAATTTGATGGAAGATAGTAATAGCAATTATATGATACGTTAGGTATTAGGATAGTTCGCTCATTATATCTCGTCGACTCAATACATTATATTTTATTACATAAAAATTCTTTCGTGCTTTCGACAATCTTACCTCCGATAAATGGAAACGCTGTGCCAAGTATCGTCTTTTTCCTTCCTATATATTCGATGAGCGGCCCTCCAGCGATACCACCAATAAGTGCACTCAGCGGCATAAGTGACCCGATCCACATGCCCTGTGACACAAAATTTGGAATGTGATGTATAATTCATGAAACTTTAATTGATTTTTAAAAAGATTTTGTTTGGACATTATCATTTACTTCAAGTTTCTAATTGTCAAATTAAGTATTAAATTGGATATCTAAAGTTTATTTTGAAATTAATTGCACAACATTTTGTATATACATGCAAGCAATATTAATGCAAAAAATTAATAAACTTCAAATCTGCCTGAATGTATTATGTAATGTCTTAAACTTTTAATATAATTTTTTTTAATATTCCGTGTACTCTATATGGTAATTGTTAAAATTACTATAGCTATTCGGCATAGAATTGAATAAGATTTAGGTCGAGTATATATCATGTGGCGCATATTAACAATCCACGATTTAAATTCATCGTTCGAATAACAGCGGTGTATATCGAAGCAATACTAACATAGTTTTATTCATCGCAGATCCTTCGAATACAAATAAGGTCGGGAAGCCGCAAAATGTCAAGGAAAACAATTGCGAAGGGCAACCATCGATCATTTCGGTTACTCATTCGTTGTCGTGCGTTTTAATTAAGTTATCGCAACGCAGAAGCGAGTTACGAAATCTTTATCACAATTTATCGAGCCACTAAACGTAGAATAATTGTTGTAATAATATTGTTACAAAATAATTTGGCGTAACGGACAGTTGGCAGTTCTTAATATGATAGTTTTTAACGAAATATCATTTTTTAATTAATTATTAGAAAATGACTAAACCCAGTTAATTATTAGAAATATTTTATGAATTTTACATTACTTATTTAGTTCATTAAACAAAAATGTATATTTAGAAATATATTATTTTTGGGGGAGGTATTACAAAAATTAATTTGCGCAATCAGGTAATTATGCTTTCCTCTATTAATAGAGATAAAAGTATATTCTGTATTGAAGATTAAGGATAAATTTACTCAAATCTTAATATCTTTCGGAGCAATCGTAAAATATCATTGCATAGAGAATCCATTAATTATATAGTGTTCATTTTCACCAATGTAATTTAACTTTAATCTCTCATTAGAAAGTATTCTAATTCTTAAATATAATAATACGCATATATCCCCCTAAATAATTATATTGGTATGTTAAAAAAATATTAATATATAATAATTTTATTCTCTTTTGCTCTCAAATAATATATTAACGCGGAGCATCCCGAGACACATATATATGTTCTACATCGCGATTCATCTGAGGCGTGAACGCTCGCTTTTGAATATGATACGGAAGCATCTCTACGCTCGCTTACATATCTGGAATCAATTTCCGATATCGTCACGACGTTGAGACACTTACGATCGAGTCGGCGTGTCCGACAAAGTGACCAATCGCGTTCGCGGCCACTGGGGCACAACGTCTCCTTCGCCAATACGATCGCAATCAGGTCATCGTGCCCCTGACCAGGCGCCAATGACGCACTTGAGGTTAAACCTTTTAATTATCCATTGACCCTTCGAATAGCGAAGGTCGTACCTTTTCATACGCATGCGTAGCTCGCGATAATTTATAAGTGACGCGTTTACGTCGTTTGTCATCGGACGTTTAGCATCGGCTTCCACTTCGTATTGATCCGCAACGCGTCGCCGATAAACAATTCCGTCGGATTTTTCCTTGACATCATGAATTTAATTAAAATGTCTTTAAACGGGCGCAGAAACGTGCGCTATCGCGATATCTAGTTTGCGATCTAGACGATCTAAAAAAAAAAAATGATGTCACAAATACCCGTTTAACATTCTCTGGTAACTTCAAATAATAAGATACAGATGGTAAAAACTAGTAACTTTTGTTATAAATAATGTGCATAGATAAAGAACGCAGATACTGATCTGAATTCAAATTAAATAAAAGTATAATATCCAGCGATTTTGAAAAGAAACTTCTCCGCAGAAAATAATCAATCACGAATAAGTAGTTGTTCTTACGCTACCGCTAAACGGATAATACGTATAATTGGCGGTAGATGTTCAAGAAACCGTATCCGATTCCCACAATCTTCCACTTCCGGATTAAAATCGGATCCTCCATATGATTTCACGGTCGGAGCGTTCGGAGATATTGCGACTTTATTCTGAGCGCTTTTATGAAAATGCTCGTCGAAGCTCACTTGTCTACGTAGCTTTTACAAACTTACCGAAATACACGGATGCAAAGCATACCTATGCTCGATTTGTCTTTTTGTACAATAAATTTTCAACGCGTTTAAGTAGATGAGTTAAGGATTATCTGAATTATACTATATAAAAAAAAATTCAGCGATTGCTGGACTCACCATCTGTTTGGTGACTTCGAAATTCGTCGTGTTGGTGTTGTTATCGCGCATGGACACTAGTGCTGGCGATGTATAGGAAGACGAATAGCCGATCTGCATCGAGCCCAACGACACCGATAACGCAGCCAATATCTGCAAACAAATTGCAAACAATATGAAAAATGTACAAAGAACGTGAACATGCTTTAACTCTTCAGATGTACATTAGTATAAAATTAAAAACCCGTTTAAATCTCAAATGAAGAAATGTGCCGGAATAAATTCAATCGATAAGGCGGATTGTCAATAGACACCCGAATAAATGCAATCGTAAACCTGTCGTGCACAGAGAAGAAACGATCACGTAGAAATTGCGAGGATATTTACATGATTTTTCTTTTTTAACATACGAATTATATATCGCTGCCGAGTATATTTCCCTCTCGTGCACGCAATTATTATTTATGTAAAATATAAGTATTTTAAAATACCAAAGATGTTATACGTAACATTTGTTTATTTTGATCTAAGAATTACATCAAGATTATATTTCTCGAAAATTGCAGAATGTTATCATGTATATGTTTTTATTCATGTTTTTACACGAAAAATCGCCGTCTAGTTATTTACATCATGATCTATTGGATATCCTATATTAAAACATTTTTTTTTCTCATTGTATTTTTATTTATCTATATACTTCAGAAATTACTTTAGAATTAAAAAAAAATATTTTCTTATCTTCAAAGAAGTTCAGAAAATTTCCGAAGAAGAAACCAAAAACAAACAAAAAATTTCGGTCTATTAGCTTTTACCTGTGTGATTGTACATTTTACTGCAGGCGCGTTTACCGGCACTTCGATGTTTACATAAGTGTCCGCTCGTAGGAGAATCTTCATGATTACGAATAGATCGAGGAACCTATTATGACACTATTTTGTAATTTCATTTACAAACACAATTTTCCAATTAATGAGATTTTGGTATTGATTTAATGTATCGTTGTTCGATGAAACAAACGGCATTGTTCTCCAATTACAATGTAAAGGCTATCAGAATCGCAAAATATCGGAGAATTGTTTTGGATATTGTCTGAATACCCAATAGGGTAAACTGACAATAAGTGAATTTATTCCAATCAGAAATCTGTCCGAATTGCGGAGGACATCATTACTGCTTATTCCGTCGAATAACGATGGCAGATTCAATCCAAAAGTTCTCAATTTTGGAAACTTGTGTTCTCGTATCAGGTAAATAGTCTTAAATAATCTTAGCAAACGCGGTTGTAGAAGAAATCGAATAATCGAGCCTTGATCCTTCGAGGGTCCCGTGTTCGGGACGAGAGACGAGAAACTCACTCTTGCGCGCGTGGGGACTGTCAGAGATCGATATCTCCGATCGGATTCGGATATTGATTTGGCTTAATCAACAAAATGGATATCGATCGCGCACTGATCGCGAATGGAAGTTTTCGATGTCACAGTATAGTACAAGCTATTGACACTTGTGGACCGCGCCGGGTGATCTTATATAGAGAGCGATGCTGGGGGCCGGCCCCCAGCATCCCTTCCCCTCGTAAGCCACGTCGTTGAGAACTTCGTAGATCGCTACTGCCATATCAGATGATCGCAGATACGTCAAACTGACAAAACGCCTTCGTTCACGCCTTTGAGGCGACACGCGGTTCCAATTCCGAGCGGGGGGTTGAAAGGGAGCACATGTATATATATCTTTGCATATATACATACAATATTTTTATGGCAGCAATTTCAAAATTCGATAATAATAGGTATATATGTGACTCGTGTGTTTCAATATGAATACCGTCATTAAAGAAACTTTTGTTTTGATTCGGTCTTGTTTTTGAAAATACATACGTATATTACATTAACATATTTTCTATATTCTTGTTGAAAAATTTTGCATCGTTTCCAAATATTGGAAATTATAGAACCGACGATAATGTCAAGTCATAAATTTCGGTGGATTGTAAAAATATCTCAAGAACATTTATTGTCTAATTATTTAATGATTTAGAATATTTTTTGACGGAAAGTAGCATAGAATATCTACGAAAATTTTATCAGGGACAACTACTAAAGAATTTATAGAATCTATAATGCACATAACATACTATATATTCTCTGTTACATGTTTACATATATTCTTTATTGATACATTGTGTTTTCTGAATCAATAAAGACTATATATTGATAATAAAGAGTTTGTTGATACAGCATACATCGAGTATGTGTACTGTATCAATAAAGACTTAAGTATTTTATTGTTCTTTCAACTCATGTTTAATGTAATAACAAGAGCGTTATTTTAACTATGTCTATCAATTCTTCAATCAACATCAAAACTGGGTTACTCGTTGTTTTCCTATTTCCGTTATTTCGGTTAGAATTATCACTATCTTAACTCCGCAGCAAATTCGCTATAGCGAAGAAAAGAAAGCAGCTAAAAATTGCGTTAGCATTTTCTTAATTGTTGAAATGTTTTTCTTGAATTTATATATGATATACGATAAATATATATAAATAGAATGTCTCCTTGTTAATCATAACGGATTCTTTAGCTACTTTTTGCGCCAATCTAATAACGCACGTAACAATCGTTTTGTTCAATGCCTAAATTTTATCCAACTGACGCAAATTTTAAAAACTAAAATTTAGAACGTTTAATGAATTTCTCAATTTTTCAATTTTACAAGTAAATGTCGATGTGTGTTTGTTTGCCTTATTATTAAACAGATTATCATTTCTTTAATAGAAACCTAAAGATCTGATTATAGCTAGTCTGATTATAGCAATTATTATTGCAACATACAATTTCACGTCTTTTTTCTACGTATAAAACTTGCTTCATCTATGTTTAATGACATGCACAGTTCATGTAAACGAAAATAAATTAATCTTCCACATAATACAAAATAATGTAATAATTCTGGCGGCGCCTATGATGTCATTGGCCATGAATATCGATGGCAACCGCAAGAAAAGTGCCAGTGTTCAGCGTTATGCAAGGCTGCAATATTCGTTACAGGGTTGCGTCTGCTTTTCATTCATCCTTTTTTGTTCTCGCACAATTGTTATTGTACCGACCATTTCGATCGCGTAACAGACGGCATGGAATTATTAAACTGTGTGTATATAATTATGGAGCAAAATATGTATGCGAAAATGTTCCAATTCGCGTACGAATGTTTTAATAGCTTCACTATAACAAGAATTATTTCAATAACTACAAAAAAATGCTTTATAATATTAGAACTATTTCTACTATTATTTTTATATTTTTAATATATTTGCGAATATAAAAATTTAATATAAAAACGTAAATAGATATAACAACTTCATTAACGAATAAAAAAATTGTTTTCAATTTAATTAATAAAAATATATAATAAAACAATTGTTCGTTTACTTATTTGAGTATTAATTATTAAATAGTAATTTGTTAATTATCTTACAATTTACTATGAAAGAAAAAGAGAAAGTACATGTCTATATTACGAAGTAACTTTTATATAGGCATGATTTTATTAGAGAAGTAATTTCTATAGATTTGATTTTATTATTTTTAATTTATTAAAATTACGGTTTTTACACGGAAAATACGATAGTTTCTATAGACAGATAACGTGTTACAACATTTTAAACTTCAAATTTTGCGAAGCGCGCGAATGCAGAGTGACGTAATATCTGACGGACCGCACGTGTGGCCATACTACTGTAAGGCCGCGCGCCTTCTTAAATCCAGTAGTTTATTCTCAAGAGCGTAACTCAACTCCCATCGATAAAGAAGGAAGAATGATTTTCAGTCAGTAAACGTGAATAGTTCACGATAATTGGATGTATTGTATTCTAACCGCATCTTAACCACACTAGGGACGATTTGTGAAATGAGTAGAAATACACTCGTTTGCACATAATAGGTAACGTTGATATTATGTGCGAGGAATACGTGCGAAATTTCATTATGTATTATTTGCAAGTATTGCTTATGAGATAATCATCAATAATCATTTTCAAAATGAAATTTGTGATCCGTAATTTTTTCATTAATTTTTGCTGATTGTATTGATAACATTCTGCCTTGTCGATTGAATTTCACATTTCAAAAGAGTTCACATAAGCTGTGTTATTATCATCATTGATCTGATTAGCCGTAATTCGTCTTAATTTTATTTTTATGAATTTGTCAATAAAGGGAAAAATTTTGCATCTCGATTCATTTTAAAATATAATCGATTTTAAATTGCTCGAAGAATCTAGTTTTGAAGGGAATTCCATATAAATCCGTGGAATATACATGATTATGGAAACTTACCTGTGCGGCAAATCGTACCCAGGATTGCTTGGGCTCCTTCTGGAACTCCGAGGACGGCAGTCGGATGGGCTCCTGCGTGTCCTTCGGCAATTTCATCTCTTGAGAATCCATGAGGATGTTGATGCTGGTACTTTCGTCGCTCGACAGCAGTGGATCTAGCTGCTTGTAATCGACCTCTTGGTCTTTGTTGAGCGGATCGTAGATCCGCGACCTGGTTAAGGCCTTCTGATGATTGTTCCTCAAGTTCTCGGCATAGTAGTGATTGGATCCCTTGCCGGCGTCGCCGGAGAAGTATCTCTTCTCGGTGATGAGGGCGGTCTGGCTGTTGAAGGGACTTGTGTTCGTCACGAGGGTGGCGTTCGACGAACAGTCTAGGGTGGACCCAGAACTGGACGCCGAAGATCTGATGACCGGGGACACCCTCGGATATTTGGGCAAAACGCTGCGCTCCTGAAATATAGAATTAACATTTTAACGATACATCGAAATTCTGCACTTTTCAAAATCACAACGAGATGGACATTAAAAAAATCATTTCGGAAGAAAATATTGATATGCACGAACAGAATTTTTGTTTGAAGAAAATATGAATGAGACGACAATTGGACTTTAAATAGGAAATCCACGAAATGTGCTATCATTTTTTCATATGTTTAATGTGAGAAAATAGAATCGTCATTGGTCGCGATCAGACGAAGAACGTAAGCCTCTTCCTCGCTAATTTTTTTTTTAATTTTAATAAAAAAGACTTTGAAAGTCTTTTGCAAGAACGGACGAGTTGAAACCGGAGATAACTGCAAGAGAGCAGTCAAACCGGACATTACCGGATTTCGACTGTTCCTCTTTGCGATAAAGTTCCACGCGTAGTAGACAGATTATAATAAACATAAATTCGGACCAAATGCTGCACAAAATTTTAAAAATAATACGACAATTAGGAAAATCGCTCATTTAATGTGAAGTTTTCTTGAAATTTATTTCCTAATATTACAATGAAGTAATCGAAAGATTTTATTTTTTAATTTATTTTTTTTCTTCTACTTTTCGAATAATTTTTTGCAATAAGAATGTAATAAAAAAATTGCAAAGATACTTTAGTGTTCCTAACACATTTTATCTTTCACGTCACATATGACTTGTCTTTAATAGAAATCACTTGGAAATTTTTCTAAAATCATCGATTATTTTTGCGAGAGGATAATAACAGATGCGAAATCCGCGTAAAATACGATAAAACATATCCACGTATGAAAACTGCACATTAAGAGGATCACCGGATGCAAAATGATACAAAGATATAAGAACTGTAAGAAAAGGAAAGAGCAAAGTATAAAATGAACAAAGCCGCATTACCGATCGCCGAAGAACGAACGTCCGTTTAATCGCTTAACTGTTCACTCGAAGGTATGAAACATCAAAGTTGGACTATTTATACTGTTTTCAAGAATCACTTTATCAGGAATCGCGGTGAAAATATGCTAGTAGAGAGAGGGAGCCGAATCACACACGGTAAGAAAAAAATAGAGGGCAAGTAACGTCTGCAATGGCAGAAAGAGACAGAGAGAGAGAGAGAGAGAGAGAGAGAGAGAGAGAGAGCAAGAGAAGAAGGAAGAATGTGATTATCGAATGAACCAATGACGAAAAGCCAGTGGCAGAGAACCAAGCGATGATGATGCTTGGTCGGAGATTAGATGACTTTTTTACCCCTGACTGATGATAACCCGTCTTGAACTCCATAAACTATCGACAAGAGTACGCCGTCTTCGCGAATGTTTCTCTACTCGTATTGACGCAAAGCGTGATAAGAGGGTTGTCCAATTCGATCTTAAAGTCGAAATCTCATAATTATCACATTCGAGAACAACCTTGCCGTAGTAAATAGTCCAGCCGAGATGCCGACGACCCCGTAAGTGATGAATGTATGCTCTTACGGAGATATCTTAATTTAAATAGTTTTGACGTTAGTTTTCTACTTATGATCTTATTTATCTTTCGCTTTATATATTTGTTCCTTTTCAATAACATGTTTCAATAACATGATATAGTACGACTCGAATTTTTATTTTTCTAATACGAAAGTCGCCTTTATTCCAGATAAAGATGAATGATGGCGAAGTAACTATGACGACTACGAAGTTTGAAACTTTTAATATTGATTCATCGATAGCCAAGTCATATTTGCGGGGGCAGTTTAATTCATTGAGACATACCTAAAGATATCTAATAAATATTTGCTGATTTATAATTTTTGCGGATTTTTTATGAATATTTAAAGAGAAAGGCGAACGGTCAAAGAATTATTATAAATTGCTATCTTTGTGCAATTTTTCCCGCAGAACAATAGGAAAAAATAGCACAGACTTATGAATTTTAATTATTCTTCTATTCTTAATTATTATTATCTATTTTCTATGTTTTACAGTGTAATTATATTGCTGCACTAATTGTAAGTAAAAAATCTAGCATTTTAGCAATTTTGAGAAGATAGATGTTAAAATTTTTTAGATTCAAGAATTACGTGCAAAATTATGTCACTAATATTTTTTACTTTAGCATCGAATTTTGTATTTTAAAAATATAAATACTCGATTATAAAATTAAATGATTTTTGTTTAATATTTTTTGCACTTTTTTTCTCTTTTTCTCTCTCTGTCTCTCTCTTTCTCTCTCTCTCCTCCGTCTCTCTCTTTTTTTTACTTTTACATTTATAATAGTATTCGTCGTAGTATCGAATAGAGAAGTACGTTAACTTACAAATGATTATAATCGCCGGTCTTGTCGTTTTTCACTGAAATTTCGTTGTGACTTCTAATAAGATCTCGTTTAGCGTGTTCTATTAGCGGTATAACACTGAGAATAAATCAGTGCGATAAAATCATTAAGTAGACACTCGAAATGTCGATTTCTGTACCCCTTCTATTAAAAAGAAGGAGTTTATTAAATTTTACGGCGTCCGTCACGAAGGTTGAACATTAATTAAAGCGAAACATATGCATCGTACGACAATCGGACGAATGTAAAAGTTGTCCTAGACGCGAGCTCTTGTCCAATTCAGCGTGAAGCATACATTATTTCTTTGTATGGGTGCGTGATATATCTACGCCCGTACAAAGAGTAATCAATGTTTTACATGATATGACTTCTCATCACATTGCCATTTAGCTATTGTGTGTCGAAAAATCATCTGTTTATCCGCGGTCATCACGTGCCTCTTACATGCGAGGGAAAGTTTACATACATATAGGATATGAACTCTGACGTCTCGGAGGAAAACCGTTTGACGTAATGTCCGTTTGCTCTTTGAAGTTCAGTTTTGTGTGCGATTGTACACAAAAATGTTCTAGTAAGTACGTATACTTATCAATTCATGAAAAATTCGCGCGGATCATATGTCGCCTGTAATTATGTATTATCAATAGTATGCGATACCGCATTTTTCAGAATATTATTCGAAAGATCAATATGATCTCGCGATGAGTGCACAGTGTCCCCGATACAAAGCGATATTTCAAAAACTTTTATAAACTAAACAATAAACATTTTAGCACAGAGGAATCTTGCTAAAATATAAATTAAATTAGAGAAAAAGGCTGAATATTGGACGCGTATTTATAACAAATGAATAGAAGGTTAATTAAATAGAGATTCTACATTTTATTTTTTAGAAAGATATACTTTCAGCGTTAAAATTTTTATCTGGAAATTAGCTTAAATACAGTGGTGACTGTCAAATATAAAAAATCAATAATTATGTATATTATTCTTCTAACGAACTGTAGGATGATTTCTTTTCAAGTCAACTCATAAATCTGAAAACTGAATTACGCAATCTGGCTATTACGTTATCTAATTTAATGAAGTGCTCCTGACCTTCAGCGCGGAATTACGGTTCTCTAATTCAATTAGTCACGATCGTTCATGCGTTATAGGACTTTGGTTATTATAGAAATAAATATACTAACAATAAGACGTTGTACTCTTATTCGGAGTTCCCATGTTTTCGAGTATTATTAATATTATAATGAATTGTTTGAATGATTTCAATCTACTAAGAAAAATATTAGATAACTGAGTATTATTAAATCTATATTAAATCTACGAATGTTAGATGGCAATCAAACGCAATCATAAATAATAAAATTGTTATCTAACAAAAGTAACCAGTACACACAGAATTAACGTAGACATTTTTAAATAATGAATTTAAGAAATATAACGCATTATTAATGAAGAATATAACGAGTTATAAACGAACAATTAATGACTTTTTTACATATTTTATAGTGTGACATAATAGATATCAATGTATATATTGGAAAGTTATTCATACAAGTTGTAGAATCGAACATAAAAAAATTTTGATGAGAAATACGATTTTAAATCAATAAAACTTGTATCCTTAAGTAAACTTATTGTCAATGAAATTAAATCTCAAAGGGACTGAAATCAAAATTTATTTTGTAGCGATATACCCGTTTCCAATTTAAAGAAACCAATGAATACTTAATATGACGATAGACTTCTTAAAAGAAAAATTTGTTGTCAACTTATTTTGATTAAGTAAAAGATTAATCTAATTGTTACGTTTTATTACCTAGGGAAAAATTACAAGGAATCTTGTTAACAGTAAGTAAGATATAGAGATACGACATTAGAAACTTAGTATACATAATTAACAACATTCGATCTGTCTTTCAAAGACGAAAGTAGTTCACTAAGGGCAGTAATAATATATACGTGACCTTAGGTATGTGTTTCATTGTCCCACGCATTCGCGTGTAATTTCCGTCGCGATATGGTCGATCGATTAAATCAACTGCGGCACGATTACTCGACTTTGACGTCTGTTGACCAAGGGATAATTCCCTCCGTGAATCGCTTCCGTGTCAAATATTAGTTGAGATTTCTTCACGCAATGATGATTTCACTAAACGTATTGTTTTAATCCGATTGATATTTCTTGAAAAATGTAATGCTTTTCAGAAATTTGCGTTTTACTTAAACAACTTGGATTATTAAAAAAAGAAACAAATTTCTCCTTTGTCTGATTGTGAGTTAAAATTGAATCGTTATCACGAAATTATTTAACATTATCAATTAAATTGTCCGCGATATGTACATAAGCAGCCAATTCTTAACCTTTTTGATTTTTCCTAATTTAATTGTACCTGAATAAAATTCCTCTACTAAAATGTTTAACGTTTAATAATTAATTTATAAATGTTTAAATGCCCCTATGCATTTTATTCATTTATATGTTTGCAGACATAATAAATTTTACGAAAGACATATAATAATGCTATCGCGATTTTATTTTTTTTACAAGTCGATAATACCCATTTCTTTTCTGGAAGAGAGTAGACAAACAAGGACTATGATTTGTTGATACTTTCATATCACTCAGCGTCATTTTATTTGGGTTTCCTATCGTACTCTTGGGAAATAAAACG